CACACCCCTGTTTCTCTCACTCACATCCACTCACACCCAATATCTCTAGTTCTCCGTGAATTACCTTGTAACAGAGCAACAAGGAAAACCCAGCTCAGCCCAGACTCCATGGTGAGTCTCTGTGTTCAGTCCTGATCACCGAATGGGGACACCTGGGAATGCCGGGGCTGGGGCTTCTCTCCCAGAGCTGCACGGTGAGGGCTGGGCTGGTTTTCATGAGCAGAGGGAGGGCCCTATTTGCATGTCCCCTGCTATATAGCAAGCTCTGGAGTCGGGATGCCTGAGTGAGGGCAGGCCGTAGAGAAGAGGTGACATTCCCGGGGGAGTTCATAGCCCATGATATTTTACAGATGAAACCTGACACACAGAGGCATGGAGGAGTTGTAAAATATGCAAAGAGCACACACACATATTTGTTGAGAGCTACCCAAAATATCTGGGTTTTTGGTCCTCAGCACTGGATCCTACTTTTTCTGTGATCCAACCCCAGGACAGAGGTGGACATGCCTCATAGAGTTTGTAGAAACCCCTTTATGTAATGAGAGCATGATGAGATTGTGCTTCATTGTATTGTTACCTAAACTTCAAGGTTGCATCAATATTTGGGCCTCAGCGTCTCGTCTGTCCTCAACAGCACCTCACCTGTGAAGTGAGCCTCACTCAGCTGAGGGTAATCAGGTTCATACAACTTGTCAAATGCAACTTCTGCTACCTCTGTGTTGGGCCCAGGGCACATGAGTGGCTCCACCAAGAATTAATTATAGTTTGTCCTTACATTTCTGTCTGAGCAAGCAGGTCCACACAGGTCCATGATTAGTTCAAAGCGCTATGAAAGGCTTGGGACAGTAGCCAGACCTATCTTTGTGGAAGTGTCAATGTGAGTGTGAGTGGTCAGCCTTCCTTGTCCACTGCTGCAGATAGTTCTCTGGTTGTACTTGTTATTCACCAGCATCCCCCCTCACCTACACTGTGGACGCTTCTAACACATGGCCAGCACTTTACAGTGAGGGTTGCTCTCTGTTGCTTCCCTAGTGGACTCAAGCCTCAACTCTATGGTACCATTGTCCTTGGTCACTTGGACATTTCAAGCGTGTGGTTGATGCAGTTGACCTCCCCGGTGTTGAATTTAGTGGAGAAACCCACAGACACTGTCCAGGCCTGAGGGAATGGCCCTGCCTCTATGAAGACATTCAAGCTTAGCCTCAAAAGGAGAGTTAATGTCTATCAGTGGGAGAGCGCCTTTTCTTTGTTCACTGGTCCACAGTCATGAGGACACCAATCAAGGGACATCAGACCAGGCCACTGATACAGGGGAGCACATTGTGTCCAAGTAGGAGTGTTCCTACCTGGGAACCAGGACTTCTAATCTATTACGGCCTAAAATTATGGCAATAAGAAGAAAAAATTTCACAGGTTTTCACCATGGATGTGGTGTTAGTAATTAATCTCACTTATACCCCTGATTTCCAGACCCATGTGCCACAGAACACTATAATGCCCATTATTTTGAGGTAAATGCAGCGAGTCTTTGTGACCAGGAAATCCCTGCCACAGACTTTGGTTTAGGAATATGTTGCCTCCTTGAAGACAAATTTATAAAATGTGTGGGTCATACTCACTCTGAACTATTTGCAGAGACTTGAATCAGTCCTTTTATTTTTCTATCCTGCTATCTGTTTCTGGAAACATCTGAAAGATACAGGCTGATTGGATCCTGTTCTCATATTTACACAGTCACATCCCCCATCCCTTAACAACAAACAGATTCCTTGGTCTTAAATAACATCATGAAAGGTCTTATGTCAGAGACACAGATATCAGAACCTGGGCAGGGATTCTGAAAGAGCTGTGGCAGGGAAAGCAATCTCACATTAGAATACTGCTTAGTTCTGGTTGGCACAAATTGCAGCCACTCAAGAGTAGATGTGTTCTGAGGAAATCCACTTGCTACCATGTGGATGGTAGGTGTTCCTGCAGGATGGGGTTATGTTGACAGACTGGTGTAATAAATGTCACTATCAGATCAGCAAAATAACAGGAGGTGTTAGGTCAGGCCTGCTGGGAGGCAGCCCTGGTCATGCTCCATCCCTCAGCTGGAAGAGGCCTGATGTTACCACTGCCAGCACAGAGACTGGTAGAGCCATATTGGTTGGACTCCCTAAAGTAATTTAAACATGGTCTGCTTTGACCCTCTGACCTGAGAGAACAGCTATTTATTGCTGAGACTGCTGATTCATTATAAAGACTAATATAATTGTACAGACTTCATGATGTTATTTGTGCTAGAGTGTTGTGAGTTTAGTTAATTGGACTGATAGCCGAGAATTTTTAACATTTAAGTAGCTTGTAGAGTTCGAAGAAACATTGAGGGATAAGGTACAGATTCTGAACTAAAATGCTAGGACAAAGCAATTCACAAAAGGATATTAAGAATGTCTAAATGGATATAGAGAACTCAGGTTACGATTGGTTGTGCAGGGAGATACGTAAAAATGATCAATTATATTGACAAACAGAATGTTAATTAATGATATCAGTGAGATCAGGTTATAGAGTTGTTTGCTAACAGCTCATATTAGAATGAGTTAAAGACAGAATCCAACTTGCAAAATCAGGACGCATGCAGGGCATTTGACTCTTTCAGTCTGCCTGTGAAGATAAAAGGGATGGGTTTCATCAGGTTGGGAGGTGAGATTGCACATTTTGAAGAAGGTTATCCATGGAAAGTTGCTAATAAAATCAGTCTGGTCATATTTGGGTTCAGAATTGCCATGCGTGTGGTGCCTCCAAGCTTTGGCACAGGGCTGCATGAGCAGATGGACCCTCGTGCATTTCCAACCACTTTCCTATCAACCAAGGACTTCCAGATTGTGATGCACTAACATTTAAAGTCAGTCTTTTTATCAACTCTAGTGGTTTCTAGGCAGAATCTCTGGGGTTTCCTAGATCCAAGATCATATCATCATCAAAGAGGGATAGTTTGCTCTCCCTTTCCCCATTTGCATCCCATTTCCTTCTCTTTTGTGAATGCTCTGGCTAGATTTCTTACACTATGTTGAATAAAAGTTGTGTGAGTGGGTATTCTTGTCTTGTTCCAGTTGTAAGTGGGAATGCTTTCAACTTTTCCCCATTGAGTATGATGTTGGCTGTGGGTTTGTAATACATAGCTTGTATAATTTTAGGGTATGTTCCATGTAGGCCTATTTTGTTAAAAGTTTTTATCATAAAAGCATGCTGGATTTTGTCAAATGGGTTTTCTACATCTATTGAGATGATCATAC